GAAAGCCGGAGCTGCTACAGCTCCGGCCGACGGTTTTCTAGCAAACTAGGGTTCAAACTAAACACCAAAATGAAGAGGGAAGAGAGTAGAGTATTTCCATACCCTTTCTTTGCCGTGAAACGGCCGTGAGTGCTCTGAAAAACTCGTGAAGGTTACGGGTTCGCCGGAAAATATGGGTGAGTTTCCCCCGTGTCGTTCCCGTCCTCAAAACCTTGGAAGAACAACATAGTTTTCATCACACAACGTCTAGCAACCAAAATAGTAAATTAAAAAGGTAAACAAACTTACCTAGCCTGAAAAGAATGGAGGGATCCGTCGGAGGTCCCTTCTCTGAGTTCCTCGACCTTACTGCGACGGAGAATGAGAGACACGGTGCAAGGGAGATGATGATGAAGATGGTCTAAATAGAGTTTCATGCAGGATGCTTGGCAGGTCACGGTGCAGGGAGTGAAGGGAGAGAAGAGAGATCCGGTGAGAAAGAGAGAGATGTCTGAGATTGGAAAGTGTTTAGGGAAGAGAGGGAAGAGAACAGAGTCAGAGAGCTGCCACATGGTAGTTTAGGAACAATAGAGAATCTAGATCAACGACTAAGATTAAAAGAGAATAAAGGATTAAATTGATAATTTTAAAAATGTTCTAGGGGAACATAGAAATAAAATGGAAATATGGGGGTGGTTGTAACATTCCTTGCATACATGGTTGCTCGGCCATCTATTATGCAAGGAAACAGCTTGAGGAATTTGTTTCCTCTTGGTACAAGAAGGAGAAGTACTTTGAAGCTTATGAAAACTTGATTCAACCCGTCCAAGACATGAAATATTGGGAGTCATATGAAAACAAATGCATTCTTCCTCCAACTTTTAAAAGGCAGCCTAGGAGACCAAAAAAGAAGAGAATAGGGAGGGTGATGAAATGAATTCAAGTTAAGCAAGATAGGGCAAAAAAGTGTGAAGTGTAGTATTTGCAAGGGCTTGGGACACAACAAGGCCGGATGCCCAACCACTCATCCTCTTCTAACGGCTAGAAAATGAAGAAAAAAAAAAGAGGTATAATTTTGATATTTTTTGTTGATTTTTCATTTCTTAAGTGAATTTGTTATTTGTGAAGTGTAGAATATGTGAGTGCTAATGTTTTATGGGTTCATTACTTAGGCCTCAACATTTAAGCCATCACAACCCTCTCAGTCATCACAACCATGCACTCAGGAAGCTCTACAACCTTCATCTCAACCAACTCAAGCCTCTCAAACCACTTCAAAGTCTACTGCAAGAAGTCAAAAAATGAGGAGAAATGTTCCATGATGTTGCTTTGATGCTTTAGGTTGTTTAAGGGTTCATTTTGTTATAGTTGAATATGCCCTTAGTTTTTTTGGAAACAACTTTCGGATAGATCTTTAGTGTTTTGGACAGATCTTTGGTGTTTTTGGTACTCTTATTTTGGTTTAGTTGTGTACTTATATTTTGGAAGAACACCTTGACCCAATAGTTGTTAAAGTTGTGGTATTTTGATACTTTCCTATGAATTGAAGGGTGTACAACTTGGAATATTGAACTTTGTTGTGAACCCTTGAAACTTTGTTGTGAACTTTGTTGGTAGTTTGTAGTTTAAATGAATTTGCAGATTTAGAATTGAAAGTTTGTTTGGAATTGAATTTGCAGATTTGGAATAGACAGTTGTGGTTTTTTCCCTATTTTATTTGATTTTTTTTTCAAAAAATTTTGGCAAGAAAAAAGGAAGGGCAGTACATAGTTATGGGTTAAAAATTTGGGCGGGAATTTTTTTTTAATTTTTAATTTCCACGTGGACCCCTTAATGACACATGGCGCACAGTCATTGTCCACATGTGCGCCACATCATAAGTTAACGGGAGACTTAACAGCCAGACTAACAGATGTATGAGACTGTCCCAAAATTAACACTTTAGGTATGACCTTGGGATGAAAAAAACTTCATGTACCAAATGTTGAAAACCACGAAACTTGAGGGTAGTAAACTGAGATTTACTCTAAATTTTAATGAAAAATCCTTCAAATAAAAGTGACAAAAGAACTTAAATTTTAATGAAAAAGACATAGTTTTAATATTAAAAAATTATAAAAAAAACTGACATTCGGGATCCGCACGTCCTCATACATATTATTTATGAAACTTACTTTACTATTTATGAAACTTAACGCACTACACTATTTAAGAAATTTACTACACTGTTTATAAAACTTACTACATTGTTTATGAAACTTAACCGTACTACATTGTTTATGAAACTTAACGGTACTACACTGTTTATGAAACTTGACGGTCGTACACTATTTATGAAACTTAACGGTACTACACTATTTATGAAACTTAATGCGCGCTGGGCACACATGTTTATGTTTTATGTTTTTTTCTTTTTGTCCTTATCATTAAATAAAGTTATTAGATGATTTTTGGTTAAAATACAAAGTTTTGAAGTCTTTTTTTTTTATTAATTTTCCTTAATTTTTAAAATGGCATCAAGAATAGTAAATGTAATCTACATGCAATCCACAAACATATACTTCATACAATACTACTATGCACTTAAACCACATAAATCCACCCTACAAAATAGGATATCGCACTTACACACATATCAACAATATGTAACCCACATAAACAACGCCGTCAGATTGAGAGCATATTTGTATTAGAAGTTCAATTTCCACATTGCATGAGTCTTAAGGATAATTGTCAAAAACACATTCAACAGAAGATATCCAAATAGATGTGATAAGTCGATTAAAATCCCATCAACAAACTGTATATGATAAAGATCTAACTATGAAAAAGCAATGTGCAATTTGATGCAAGGCAGAGAAATCAATGAAGGAGAAGAGAGATGAGGCAACTGATAGGATTTTTATCATCTGTAAAAGTAGAGATAAAAATATTTAAAATACTTGTAAGGGTACAACGTAATTGTAGTATACATGGCTCTAGCAAGACTGTTCTCCATAAGGGATTGAATGAATAATTTATATCAAACCAAATCTTAATAATTATTTGAAAACAAAATTTGTAAAAGGTTGCTTTTATGATCCAAAATATTAAATACAAATTTAATTAAAAATAATTAAATAAATTGACAAAGTAAAGAAAACAAAAGAAAATAGTTTTGATCAATTTAAGCATTAGGGTACCGCCGTCACCTTAACAATCCTAAGTAGTTCCTCCAATTACTTAGGACTTCTCCATGCATATTTTGAAGTTTAGGTTTTCCTAAAGTATGTCTTACTTGGAACCTCCAACATAGAACGTATATCTAACATGTAACTCGTCTGTGGTGTTCAGATTGAATGTGAACATGCAAAACTCATTAAGTTTTGTGAAAATCTTCTGAATAACCATGCAACCCTTAGGATGTGGCATTCATCCTAAGTGAAGTTACACATATTAACCACAAGAAGCCTTAGTCAATTTCAGGGACAGCCCTCCATCAAAATTGCATCAAACTACTTTTCCAAGTATTCTAATGATGGCCAATCATCAAAACAATTAGATAGTTTCAACCACGGTGATTAATAATTCAAAACCTGCATGCATAATATTAAAAGCAAATTGAAAAGAAACTACATATTCTTGTTAAGACTCGTGGTCTCGCCCTAGCAAGCAGAAATTAGTTACGAACAATCATAAAACAAAATATTATGAAAAACATGAATAGAAAACTCTTTGAAAATAAACTTAAATCGTCAAAAGTTCTATAAACCGAGTTCTCTAAAGTAGTGCATTCTCCCCTCCCTAATGGATAATTAGCCTTATTTATAATACTACAAAATAAAATCCTTATTAGAAAAGGTCTTCTACAAACTAGGTAACATAATAGAATAAGATAACTAGGAAATACATTCCTATTCCAACTTTGGGAAATCTGCCCAGCCGCAAAACAACCACGTTTCTAGTTCAAGACTCCAAAACAGGCCCAAATTGACTTGAATTAAACCTTAGGACATCCCAAACATAATTGCAGAAGGCCTTGAACCCAAAAGACATCATCTTGGACGCCAAAAAACCCAAATAAGCCCAAAACGTCATTATAACAGAAGTGCACGCTGCTCCTTTATTTCATTGCCATAAATAAACAGTTAGGTAGAAAATGTGAAACATTGTTACAAACAAGATAAGGAACTTGCAAACATCCTTCAATTTGAATCACTCCAAAATCCATCCGTTCGATCACGTTTTACTCCAGAGGAAGTCGAATGTCCTATATTAAAAATTTAATCCAAAGTATCAAAATTTTCACAAAATAACCAATAAATTAATACTAAGATAAGGTCAAAACATATAACACAATATCGAATCATCTGCAACCTTCTACCATCCACATTAATAATAGTCGTTGTAGCATTTGACAGTTCGAGTAAGGTTTTTTTAATTTTTTTTTCAATGACTTTTAGAATAAGGTTAATAGCACAACAGTATACCTTGATCTCCTATTCGAACAATGTAACGGGCAAATAAATGAAATATACGCTGAATGATTTGAAAGTAAAGGTTATCATCATTTTTTTCCAGAAATTATGCTAAACTTTTAAATCATTGACAATTATATCATGTCCTCATATAAGTTAGAGGCATTCACAATAAGCTAACTCCAAAGGTATCTCCATAGGAACCTTTATAAATATATGGAATCTCACCAGAAATAAAATAAATAGCAAGGAAATCTATAAGAAGCTGTATGCTTTCCGTAGTGAATATTTTTTTTTGTACAACCGGTAAATATTATTACCACAGAAATTTTACACAACAAAGGCCCACACCATATATACAAAGCAAAAGTTGACCTTACAAACTATACACCAAGGGCACGTTTGTTTGGCTTCACCAACCTGGACTGTACAGGACTAATTTTTAGTGTAATCCTCTGTTTGTTGGCTGCCAAGACTAAGTTTAATGGTATTAAGTGGGACTCGCTTTCACTAACTCCTTCATTAAGTGGTCCAAGCGAGACCTCCCAAATACGAGCGGACTAGTTAAGACCATCGTCGTCCTCCTGCTCGCTCGCTCTTTGTGTTCGTCCTACTCGCCCTACTCGTCATGCTTGTCTAGATCGTCGTGATCGCTCGACTAACTACATCGGCCACGCTCGCTCGCTCGAGCAGGCTAAGAAATCGTCAGTCTCTCTCTCACTCGTCATTTACAAATTTCATTTGTTGTTTTGATTATGTGAAATCTGGATTGCTTTGATTTTGTGAAATCTGGGTTGGTCTTATGCTTTGAAATTGCTTGTTCTTCAATGATTTTTGCTTCTGGGTATTTTATGATGTAGTTGTACGGATTTGATTTCTGCTTCTGTGAAATTGCAAATTCCATTTGCTGCCACTGTAAGTTAATTCATTTGTGTCTCTTGATTCAATCTTTGACTCTTGATACATTGTTTAGGTGGCTTTTAACCTCCTGCATAGAGCTACTTGATATTGTATCTGTCAATCTATGCGAGGTCCAAGGTTTATCTTTCTATTTACTAATTTATCTTTGGGGGGAATTTTGTCATAATGAGTTAGATAGAGGTGTTCTTAGGGCTCATTTAGCATTATAATCAATTAATAAATGGATCATATGGATCATTATTGTTCCATAAAGTAGTTAATTGGTTATCAATATCATCTGTAAGGAGTGATGTCTGGATTAAGCTTGCAGCTCTGTTCCTTTGTTTGGCAATTTTGTATGGGTTGGATGTAAGCATGAATCCTGGATTGTAAGATTATGGTGCCCTTTAACTGAAGCTTGTCATGTATTTGATTGAAATAATATGAAATAAGCACAACTAGTTGCTGATGATGATCCAATGTAGTTTTTGGGACCTAATGAGACAATGCTCTGGATAACTGAAACATTAGTACTGAAAATGAAACATGATTGAGAAAGTCTTAGAAAAACATCCTACCTTTATATATAGGTACGTCAGATAGGCACACTCTTTCTTTGGCTTTATTCTTACAGCCAATTCTCTGTTTAGAATTGATGATATTGGAGCATTGATCTCCTTAACCTCCTTTCCTTCAATGATTGGCTATATTTTCTTATGATATCATAATAGGTTTTGCAAAAGGGGTATGGATGATGGGCGTGATTGATGAGATTCGAATGCCTGTTACAGAAACAAACCGAAACCCAATATTAGTTGACACAAGGACTCGTGTGAAGGATACACTTACTGTTGAACCACAACGAAGAAATGGAAGGTATGCACCTTTATTAGCTTCTGTTTTGGGCTGATTTTTTGTTGCCAAGTTGCCATTGATGAGGAAATGCACCAGAATGAAGTCACACTTTATTATGGCAGGCTTCAATTAATGTGCTACAAGTACATTTGGGATGATATAGTTGCTGATAAATTCCCATCAGAGAAATTTTTCACTTTTTTTCCTTAAATCCTCATGGTATCTTATATGAAGAAATCAGAGAGATGGCTGCTAACTCAAGGTTCCCAGCAGAGGTTAAGTCTCTCCATTGAATTATTTGATACATTTAGTCTAGGAAATCAGGATTTTCGGGGTTTTCTATTGTTTGATGTTCCCATTATCACTATACTTGCTTCAAAAACCAATCACTTGATATTAAGGATGCATTTTTTTAGTAATTTGTTTTGTTTATTAGTTCATAAACAAAATTGTGTGACATAGATTTTTCAGATAATTACCACTGATGACATAGGTGAAAAAATTGTTTCATAAACAAAATTTGTTTTGTTTATTAGTAATTTGTATAGGTAAACAATTTCTCTTGGTTGTGCAGACCCTTGATGACATAGTGAGATACTACAGAAACACATGTAGCATGCTGCCCTCTACACATGACCAGCTGCTATTGAGGTGAGTATAAAATTTATACACGAGATCTTTTACATTTGCTTGGTCACAATAACTTTTGGGAAGATACTGATATGACTATTTTTGAGTCAGATATGAGTTATAGAAAGATCATTCGTTACTTGGTGAAGATGAGTTTGCATACGACTCTGATTGGGTCAAGAATCAAATACAGGGTTGTCTTGAGTTCTGGTTAGGAGAGCGAGAAGCAAGTTACACTCTTAAGGATGAGGAATGGAAATGCAGGTTCTGTCAATATTCTTCTGTTTGCCCCGCTAGAAGTGCAGAGTCTGCAAACTATACTAATACACCAAGTTAGAGAAAAGCAGTAGCATTGGTGATGTTTCAATCAACATCGTCAGTAGGCCTCGTTTGGCACGCCGTATAAAGCATCGGATAGGATAAATAATACGGGAGTAGTTGTTTGGTGCACTCTCGTACTAAATAAGCACCCGCTTAATTATCCGGCCCATCAAATTTTATACGGTTGACACCGTACTATTAAAACAGCCCAAAAGCTCGGGATAATTAGTCGGGGCGTTGTCCTCTCCAACTTCACGAAGCCGCCGTTAACGACTTCTCAAAGTGGGCCTTCGAGCAATTCCTCGACGAGTTTTCCACCCTAGGCGCCACTCCTCTGCAGTCATTCTCCGACTAATTTCCCGTCTCGTCCGACGGAAAGCACATAGAGGAACAAAGAAGAGAGTGAGAGAAAGACAAAAGGAGACCAGTAGCAAAATAACATATTCCACAGGGATATATAGAAAGGGGCGGATGGAAGCTAAGGAATTCGCCAACTGGAGGCGTCACTCAGCTCTTCCCCTCCTCCAAATCGAATTTTGTCAATGCTTTTCCCCAACCTAATGCCCAAAATCAGTCAGCCCCATTTTTCTCTCCGATGAGTGTTCTTGGTTTGTTGAAAAAAAGGTGTCCTTCGTGAATTTCCTTCCAATTGTTTTTTAGGACAAATAGAAAACAAATTCCTTTGTGTGAATTTTCTTGGTTTGTGGTGTGTTTTTTTGCTGGGTTGATTTGTAGCTAAAAAAAAAGGGAAGGATTGGGAAAAAAACGATGAGAATTTGAAAGGTGGGTTTTGTTGGGTTTCTTGTTGCTACCTTTGTGGTGGGGTTTAGTTCAAGGGAGCAGACGGGGAAGAAGAATAAGGGATAGAAAGGGAGGGAGTGAGTTTGGGGGGGGGTGCGGCGGAGAGATCTGGAACAAGAGAGATGATTTCAGTTTTTTTTTTTTTAATTTAATTTTAAGTTTGATTCCTTCTATCCGATATAATACCAAACACAGTATAAATAATACGGTCATTAGTCCGATACTGCACCAAACGCCCGACTAATTTAGTCAGTACTATCCGATGACTATTTATCCTATCCGGCAGAAATAGTCAGTACAGTCCGAGCTGCCAAACGAGGCCAGTGTACAAAGAAGCACAATTCTTGGAGTTGCTTCTTTGGGGTAATTGCTGTGTTGGTTGTGCCATGAATGTATCGTAGCCGTTGTTTGATTCAATTGTTGTAACTTATTCTTTGGATGAAATCATTAAACAGGAGTTGTAAATTCAATTGTTTTGTATTGAAAGCTACGCTCAAAGTGCAAAGGATGTCTCTCTATCAAATTTAGCAAAGTCAGATAGTGATGTTACAATAGTATGTTAACATTAGGATGAATGAATATGGTATTATTCATGGATTTTGGGAGGCTGTGAAGAAGAAATCAAAATTTTCTTCCTCCAAATTTGTGGTCTGATAAGTTTGAGTTTTTAACAATTTTGGGTTGCTGAATGTTTATAGATTTCTCAATTATAGAGGCTTAAAGGGATTTTAGACCAAAAAGTGAGAATGTTTGATGTACTGATTCTAAATTCCTAAGTTGTAGGAAAGCGCTGTTTGTTTTTGCAAATTGCAATGCTACAATGCACAAAAACTCAATATTTTCTTTCGTTTCCAAGCAATTGTTGTTGAGTTTAATGTATTATCATTTGATTTGACTGTGGGTATTTTGCAGTTGAGTTGGATGTAATTCTATCGTTAAAATTTGTAATTTTACTATTTTTCATTATCCTGGTTTTTAGTCTGACACTGCACCAAACGCTTCACTAAGTTAGTCCACCTTAGTCTATTCTAAGCCAGTCCAGCTTAGTCCCTGAAGCTAGTCCAGTCCGAGATAATCCGGTGCAACAAACGGGCCTAAAAAGGGCTAAGGCCCAAAAATAAAAGTACACTGAAAGAAAACCATAGTCTTCTGCTACATACGCCACTGCAGCACCACCGAGCAGCAGGAACCAAGTACAACAACAAGAGCCAAAATTCCGACCAATTAACGCCTCAAAGATGGGAGGAAGGAAGACCCCATAATCGATCAATGAAACCATATCCGAACCCAGCCACCAAGTAGAAAAAAAAAATGAAGCTTGTGAGATTCCCGCAAACGACACTGCCAATAAAGGCAGACCGAGAAAAGGAGATGGTGCAGACACCCGAGTTGATAAGCATACCGAAGCTCTACACACCTTCTCAATTGACTGCGACAAATCATTGTTAAAAGTGACTGCATATCGAACTTGGGAAGAAATTGGTGAAAGACGGAGCCAAGTCAAAGATAGAGGAGATCAGATTTGTGGGGGATGGACGAGGGACATGAAGGTTGAGGGATGTATCTGAGGACATAATTGAGTAGGAACGATGGCAATAAGGGTGCATAGGTCATACTGATCAGGATGGATAACAAAGGGAAAACAGTAACAGAAAAGAATGAAGAGAAAAACAAAAAGGAGAAGGAAATGCCTACTAGGTTGGCGGCTGAATGAAAAATCAAGATGGGAAACCGCACACAAAAGGTGAGAAGAAGTCTCAGTTAAAGAAAGACTCTCACAAACACGGGAGAGAAGTCTGTGCATAAACCAACAAAGATATCAGATATCAGTTGGGCATAGAAACCTTGATTGTACATCTCAAATTCCACTTTCCAGAACTTCTGTCAATTATGAATGTCACCATAATCTGGCATTCAGGGAAAAAGTGTACAAATTGTCGATGGGTTGGCGATACCTAAGTTAGTTTCTTTGAAAAAAGTGAGTGTTTAGGGTTTTTTTGTATATAGAAATGCTTAACCTTTTGGCGGAGAAGTGGGGTATTTGTAGAGGAGGTAGCCAATCATAAGGGTTGAATTTAGTGAGAATATTCTCTAAGATATTGGAATTACTTAGTTGATAGGGTTTATCTTCAATTGGGAGTGTGTTAATAATAGGATTTAGGAATAATCCTATCATTAAATATCTTTGACTTTTTTCACGAGCAGTGGTGCTCTGAACAGTCATCGTCTATTACCTACATGGCCTTGGATGCTGAGCTGCGCATAGAATGCATTGCTCATTTAATAAGGGCAATCTTGTCTTTTTCAGTTGAAAGCACACATGTCGTCTCTAAGAATTTTGGGATTATTTTTTACCCTACACAAATCATTCTCACCACATCCAGAATTAGCCTTCAAATAACTCCATATTACACTGACAAGCGTACTAGGAATGACCGTAATCCCATCATCCACTTTAGGAGAGTTTTTCTTAATCAACCATTGGGGTATAATATTTAATTATTTATATGGAACAACCTCTTTTACAAAGTAAAAGTAAGCTGTCTACGTTAGACATTCACCTCGACTTTTACAAAATGAGAAGCCTTGTTGGGTAGAGGTGGCTATATTTTTTTTACTTAGCAAAGCACTCATTTTTTAGAGGACTTGGATTCTCTGCCCTCCAATTTTGGTACCCTCTATGTGCCCTCCTTTTTTTGTGGTCACGGTTAAGCCACGTTAACATTTTATATTAATATTTCTTTTTGTTTTATTATTTTTATAAAAAAACAATATAAAATATTAACGTGGCTTAACCGTGACCACACAAAACAGGAGGGCATGGAGAAGGCACCGAAGGGCAGAGAATCCAAGTCCTTTTTTAGAATCGTTTGAATAGACATTCAACAGTTTCAAAAGATTAATGTCTAGGTTCATCTTTTGGGAAAACGTCCAATTTTTTTATATTAAAATACGTCCAAATTAGGATTATTTTATTCAATAATTATTTCTTTAATGTTAAGATTAACTATAAAAGTTAAATTTCTTCAGAATTCACTCTTTAATTATTATTATTATTATTTTGTTAGATCTTATTCTTCTTCATGCTCTAAACACCATTCATAGATTTTATTTTCAATTTGTATAATCAATCTATATCACAGATTCATTGTACTTATCTACCATAGATGAGTTATGCCACTCAAGGAGACTAGAAAATAGTATAAAAAGTTACAAGAGCATCTGTAATGAAATATGTAAAATGTCTTTAAATTGACATGCCACCCACTTTGGCATTCAACTTGGTAAATTTTTATGCACATGCTTTTGTTGGGTTAAATAGTGTTTGCTTTGATATCGTTTTTTTTTTTTACAAATGATACTGTTAGTGTATTCAATTGTTAAGTTGTTTGGAGAAAAAAAATCAATGAGATCAAATTCGCATCAATACTGTCAGTGTGTTAAATCACTACACAAATACTGTTAGTTGGCAGCCTCTAATAGTAACATGCATGTAATTATCATTTCTCTTGGAACAATGAAAGAAATTGAGTTATTTATTTTTAAAAAAAGGAATTGACTCATTTATTTTGAATTGACTAATTTATTTTTTATTGACATGCATACTTCATGGGTCAATAGAGAGATGGTAAGGCCATCTCCAATCGAACGAGGGCCATAAGGCTTGTTTTAGTCATCAGGCTCACCAAGATATTAATATTTTAATTAACAGTATATGGCCATATTTGCCTTCATCTCCCAACCGAGGGCCAAAGGGTCATAGGCTCGTTTTAGCCTTGTCACAAAAAACCGTCTCCAACAAATGGCCAAAGGGCCATAGGGTCAAACATAATTTATTATTTAAATTTAATGTTATTTATTGTTGTTTCATATTGTTTAATGTTGTTTCATGTTACTTAATTTAATTTAATGTTGTATAATGGCTTAGGAAGTTATAGGACAAAAATAGAATTAAAAAAAAATATTATAAATTTTGTAAAAAAAAAGCCTACCATTCCTATCGGATATAACTGACATGAATAAATGCAATGTTGTCGGTTATATCTGACAGGAATAATGAAAATCCAACCCCACCCATGGCTGGTTGGCTGGCTGGATTGAGCTAGCCGGTTGGCCCTTTAGCCCTTTCAGATTCTGTGGGGCCCACAAGCCCTCTGGCCTAGCTCTCGGTTGGAGACGGTTTTCGGGCTATTTTCAGCCCTCTGACCTTCTAGACCCTTCGGTTGGAGATGGTCTAATACCCTTTGCAGGCCAATGGTAGACCCCACCTTGGACATCTTTGTTTTGTCTGGAAGATCTTGCATCGTTCAACTAATAAAGACTTTGGAGCGAAACCTCATGAAAAGCAAGAGAAAAACTACGATTTACACTTTGTAGAAAATTCATTGGCTTCCATTTTTTTTCTATACAAATCTACATTATGGGAAGAGAAAAAGCTTGAACTCGAGATGCAGTAAAATGAAGAAAAAAAATTTAATTATCAAAACAATTCAGCGCTTACCAACATTTTTTTATTTTTTTATTTTGGTGAAGGTATATAAATTAATTAAACTTGTATTAGTTTTATCAATTCTTTCTTGATTTGCTTCATTATTGTTATGTTTTTGTTAATAATTCTTTAACCTTAAGACTTATTTCAGCATTCTGAAAGGATTTGACTAGACCGATCTATAGATGAGTAATGTAACTCAACCTAAAGTGATTACTCCGCAAGAAAAGCAAATTCTCGCTAACAATTCATCATTCCAACCCACCACGTGCAATTATTGATCTCAACATTTAAAATTACTGAAGAAGAAAAAGAAAAATGTTGCAACACATTGATTTGCATGGGAAACTGAGAACCTAGAAACTTTGAAGGATCATAACTAAACAAAAAATGGCAAACTCTTTCATTCTTTTTCTGGTAAATAATAAAAAAAAAAAGAACAATTCTATAAGGTTGAATAAAAATTTGATTAATCATTTGATATAATTGCTATGCTTAGTGTGTGACTCGTTGGTTTTTTTTAGGGTTGGGATTCAAAAAAATGGACAGCCCATAGTACAAACTGATAACTATAGAACTAATAACCAACTACTAAACACAATCGTCCCAACGGGGAGATTTACAATCACAAGGTCAGTCTACAAGAAACTGGCAGAGCTTTAGCCATTGGGCAATCCAACCGATTCCAACCCTCTGGACCCTTCGATTGGAGATGGTCTAATACCCTTTGCAGGCCAATGGTAGACCCCACTTCACTTGGACATCTTTGTTTTGACTGGAAGATCTTGAATCGTTCAACTAATAAAGACTTTGGAGCGAAATGATAGGATTAAAAGCACACTACAAAGTAGCACACAAATGTCCTATTGATTTTCCTTATTAACACTAAGATTTGTCAATTGTAGCATATGAAAATAAGGGTCTTTCCTGCAGAAGATTGTTTTATCTAACTACCTAAAATGTCACAAAAATTGGGTTGTTGTCCCTACTGACCAGCCACCGAAACATAATTATTAGACCGACTTATACTTATCTAAAGTCTACAAAATTTTATATGCAAATACTAGACACACATAGCTACACTCACACAAATGTTTGGGATTTTTGGAGTTGATTTGCTATTTAAATTAAATTGAACAAAAACAGGACAGAAACAAATTTTAACTAGTTCACAAATTAAGAAAAACGAGTTAGGGGAATTGCTATCCACCACCAAATAATCATGCAAACATGTTATGTTTCATTCAAATTCCTTTTATTTCCGGATGAAGATGCTCAAGTTGGCTCAATGTTAGAACTCAATCTATTACTCTTTCTTACGTAGTATGTTAAGAGAATGGCGTTTTCAACTTAACTTAGTTCCTAGCATGCAATCTAGAATGACGTGTTCATAGATTTAATAAGAAGAAATCATTAAGAACGAAAAGAGTTTGAGTCATCACAAGGCATCGTAAGTACTAGCGTTGTCTTACTTATCCTAGAAATTGGTTCACATGTTAATCGCAATTAACAAGTACTACTCTAGAACATATGTAGGTCCTCATTCGACAAGGGCAGGCACACACATATTCATAGCATTAGAATCCTAGATATGCTTACTAAGTATGCATCCATAGAAAACAAATAAAGAATTCATCAATGAGACAAGTAGTGAACCAATTTTCATCAATTCATAAAAGTAATTCAAACGAAATGTCATAACAAACTTGCAATCATATTTGGGGCTTCAAAACAGCCCCTAACTTCTAAAAATTTAGTTACACATAGTTCTCAAATTAAACCAAAAGAAAGACATGAGTTTGAGAAGATAAAACCGAAAAAAGAGAATGTCAAGATTTCCTCCTTTCTTTCCTTCCTTCCTCAACGCAGCAGCCTTGCCTTTTTTTCTTCCTTTCCTTCTTTTTTTTCTATCTTTTTTTTCTCAAAAAAAAACTCCTATTTTGCCGCTGCAACCTGCAGCCTTTATGCCCATGCTTGCTGCCCCATTTCTGCTCCATAACTCACCCCACTAACAGCCATTTAGTGATGACAATAAGTAAGAGGAAATGGTAAAATAATTGTAACTCTTTGGGCCACCTTTATGCCAATTACTCCCACTTAATCCTCATCTTTAATTCCATTTCATCTGATATTTGAATAGGTGTCAGCGGGCTTGTTCTTGGCTGCATCAGTTTTGGCTGCTAGTTTTATTGGATTTATTGCCTTCAATGCAGTTACAAACTGCTCAGCGTCTTGGAAACCTTTCAGTGTTAAAATGGACATAACTTCTTCTAGAAAAATGATATTAAAAATACGCGAAATTCTCCAGAAAATAGACATCCGTAGTTTTCCAAGAATATAAGGCTCATTCTCTAATTCATTCTGAGCTGTTCGCAACTTAATTCCAAAATCAGCTGATCAGGACAGGCAGTTTTGACAAATTTGTTACTTAAAATCCCACTTGTGCTATTTTTCTTTTATTTGCTTGACAAATCATACAAACCACAAAAAGAAAGTAAATAGCTCAAAAATATAAGGAACTAACTAAGAAAAGACAAGTGAATTTGATATAAAATATATAAAAATATGAGCTTATCACAAAATCTCATGGAAAGCAAGAGAAAAACTACGATCTACACTTTGTTGAAAATTCGTTGGCTTCCATTTTTTTTCTATACAAATCTACATTACGGGAAGAGAAAAAGCTTGAACTCGAGACACAGTAAAATGAAGAAAAAAATTTAATTATCAAAACAATTCAACACTTATCAATAGTTTTCTTTCTAGTAGTTTATTTATTTCTTCATATCAATCAATGTGCAACCAACATTTTTTTTTAATTTTATTTTGGTGAAGGTATATAAATTAATTAAACTTTGATTTGTTTTTATCAATTCTTTCTTGATTTGCTTCATTATTGTTATGTTTTTGTTAATAATTTTTTAACCTTGAGACTTTTTCAGCATTCTGGAAGGACGTGACTAGACCGATCTATAGATGAGTAATGTAACTCAACCTAAAGTGATTATTCCGCAAGAAAAGCAAATTCTCGCTAACAATTCATCATTCTAACCCATCACGTGCAATTATTGATGTCAACATTTAAAATTACTGAAGAAGAAAAAGAAAAATGTTGCAACACATTGATTTGCATGGGAAACTAAGAACCTAGAAACTTTGAAGGATCATAACTAAGCAAGTGTGGTAACAATATATATGTCTATGGAAGCTAGTTAAGAACTCTGGTGTAAAAACTCGAGTAAGATTTTTGCATAAAAGTTTTTGTGGAAAAGTGATGCATATTGGCCAACCATTGGTTTCAAGTGAAAAACCAAGCAATCCAACCGATTCCAACCCTCTAGACCCTGCGGTTGGAGATGGTCTAATACCCTTTGCAGGCCAATGGTAGACCCCACTTCACTTGGACATCTTTGTTTTGACTGCAAGATCTTGAATCGTTCAACTAATAAACACTTTGGAGCGAAACCTCATGGAAAGCAAGAGAAAAACTACGATCTACACTTTGTAGAAAATTCGTTGGCTTCCATTTTTTTTTTTTCTATACAAATCTACATTATGGGAAGAGAAAAAGCTTGAACTTGAGACGCAAGAAAATGAAAAAAAAAATTTAATTATCAAAACAATTCAAGCTTATCAATAGTTTTCTTTCTAGTAGTTTATTTATTTCTTCATATCAATAAATGTGCAACCAACATTTTTTTTTATTTTTTATTTTGGTGAAGGTATATAAATTAATTAAACTTTGATTTGTTTTATATCAATTCTTTCTTGATTTGCTTCATTATTGTTATGTTTTTGTTAATAATTTTTTTAACCTTGAGACTTATTTTAGCATTCTGGAAGGATGTGACTAGACCGATCTATAGATGAGTAATGTAACTCAACCTAAAGTGATTATTCCGCAAGAAAAGCAAATTCTCGCTAACAATTCATCATTCCAACCCACCACGTGCAATTATTGATCTCAACATTTAAAATTACTGAAGAAGAAAAAGAAAAATGTGGCAACACATTAATTTGCATGGGAAACTGAGAACCTAGAAACTTTGAAGGATCATAACTAACCAAGTATGGTAACAATATATATGTCCATGGAAGCTAGTTAAGAACTCTAGTGTAAAAACTTGAGTAAGATTTTTGCATAAAAGTTTTTGTGGAAAAGTGATGCATATTGGCCAGCCATTGGTTTCAAGTGAAAAAACCAAGCAATCCAACCCATTCCAACGTACCTGGACTGTACTGACGTAGTCATACAAACACCTCAAGCTATCGAGTACATGATGGTACTTAGGTACAATGGGTACACTTCTCATGAGTTCTTATTTACATACATAAGTGTGCGCGCACATATCTGTCTATATATCTAATTAGATATGTTACTCTAATTCAGCAATAGCTTCTAACTGAATTTTTAGATTTCTTGCAGGTGTAGTTGCATTTGTTCGTGCAGGACCTGTAGATGCAAAAGGATTGGGAGGCATGGTTAAGATTTCTCCTCCTTCCAGCATTTGAACAACTTCTTTCATGGAAGGACGACCCGCTGGCTGCCACTGGATGCACCAGAGCCCTACAATTGCGAGTTTCTTTGGAGTTTTACCATCTCCATCCTCCCCGAGATGGATTCTTAGGTCCTCTCCTTCTTCTAGAAGATTATAGATCCATTCTGGATAGTAAATTTCAGTTGGGATTGCTGAGGTTGGATCAATATTCTTCCTTCCCCCTACCATCTCAAGCAGCAGCATTCCAAAACTATAGACGTCCGACTTATAGGACACATTTCCGAAGTTCCTGGAGAACACTTCAGGTGCAATGTAGCCCATAGTCCCTCTAGCTATAGTCATGGACACTATGCTTTGATCCTTAGAACACAACTTGGCCAAACCAAAATCAGAAATTTTTGGAGTGAAATTGTCGTCTAATAAAACATTATGAGGCTTGATGTCGAAATGGAGGATTCGTTGATCACATTCCTGATGAAGATAATAAATTCCCTTGGCTACAGCAAGAGCAATATCTTGCAACTTGTCCCAACCAAGAAAACGATTGTTATTGTCTGCCGATGAAATGAAATAGTGCAGTGAACCATTGGCGAAGAACTCATAAACGAGAGCTCCGTTAAATCGATCAGCACAGAAACTAACCAAACGAACCACGTTGACATGGTGGATACGTCCCATCATTCCAACTTCCTTTATGAAATCTTCCCCGTTTCTGTTGGAACTATTGAGAACTTTTACAGCGACAAAGCATTCAGAAGAAAGCTTTCCTTTGAAAACAGTTCCATAGGCTCCTTGGCCTAACTTGTCCTGGAATTGGTTTGTGATCCTCTTAATGTCCGCGTAGGAATACCTGCTTGGTTTGTGAGCTTTGTAATCTTCTAAAAACTTGTCAATCTTTAATTGGCTCTCCTTTTCTTTTCGATTAGAACTATAGACACGATAGGCTGCAACAACCAGTACTAATACAGCAAATGATCCCAGGGATGCACCTGCACATTAATTAAACAAATCATCGAGTAAATTATAGTATTCCCGACATGGTCTAAATAGACATGAATTCCTTGTTGCACCTGAAAGAAAATAATCAGTTAGACAACTCACATGTTGCCACTAATTTTCTTGTTGCACCTGAAAACAAAGAATTGAAATTAAGTAAATAGTTTGCAGGGCTAATTGAGCTCATATTCTGGATGGAAGAAAACAATGAATTTCTCATGACTGTTTGCACGCAGTTAATTCAAATCCATGTCAAATGTGTTGCATCTAGTTATTTGAAATACAAAACTCAATATATGTAAGTAGAATATATTTCAATAAATATTTTTCTAGATAAGTAGAATATATATGTAAAACGAAATCAACACTAAATATATATGCAGCCTTACTGGCTTTCTTCAAGTAAACGCATTCAATTTCTGCGTACCCGGCGGCGTACAATTCTACAACTGTTGCCTTCCGCTTCACATTCTGCACAATTTGGTTTATCCCATTTGAAAAGAGGATCACCATTCGCGCCCGCACTTGGAACCGACAAAACATCGTACATCTTTGTACAGGACTCGAGGGCCAGCGAGTCCCAAAGAAAATAGTCAGATGAAAGGGCATACACTCTGTAGCCAGGGCCACCTATGCAGGGAACTGGTGTGTCTAATTCTCTTTCAACAGGACAGTGGAATAAGGTATAGTTTCTGGTAAAAAAGGGGAGGAAGTAGAATTGAGAGGCTGTCAATGGCATGTTGATGTTGTCAACTTCTAAAGGCTTTAGTAGCAGGCAATTATACGGTTTATGGACTTGGACTTCCTGATTTTTGTAATCTATGCGTTTCACCAAGAATTTCATCACTACCACTCGGTGCTCCTGTCCGCCGTCACCCTCATTCGCATGGCAATCAGTTGGCCGACCACAGTGATGTCTGCGGTGAAACGGGAAATGGATAGCCTTGCCATGATTGCCGCATTCGGACTCCGTGCACGTATACGCATTTTGGGTTGCTCTGAGAATTGTAAACAAAGCAATTAAGAATATGCGAGGCCAAGAGATATCGAGCTCTTGCTGCTGCATTTCTGAGGTTTTTCCCATGGATTTCTTCTAAGCAATGGTAGGTCTATGTAAATAGAGAGTATTTTTTATTAAGTTCAGCTTCACGGAAGATGTTCTTACAAAAACTAACAACCAAAGATTCAATTAATTACACAAGAATTACTCGGAAAGCAAGCACAACTGCAGTTTCATCGAAGGTGCTCTTACAAAAACTAATTATTGTTCAACACAAAAGACTTTGTAGAGCACTTGACCATAAAAAAGCAATTGATCGATCGGGTCTCAATCAAAGACTCATTCACAATTAATTATTGTTGTGTCCTGTCCTGTCCTCTGTGTGGTTCCATTCACGGTTACCTCAAGGACCGCGTCTAAAAAATGCGACTTTATATGGAATTTATGTCACCTTATATTTTTGCACATTACTTTATAATATTAGCACGAAAATTAGCATTAAATTGTAAACGAGCAGAGAATCTATGAAGAGTTTCATTTCGAGAGAGTCTCATTAGACCATCTCCAAAGGAGATGTAAAAAATGTCACTAGACATATAATAGTAACAAATGACGTACCAGTTACTCCAACCGAGATATCAAAGCTAAAATGGAAAATATGGCTAGCTGTAGACAAAGATATGTCAAATTTGAAGTTGCCTTCAAATATGGTTTTTGTTATTTTCAAAGGCATTCTTCTTGTCTCACCTTTTTTTTTTTTTAGTACATCGATACTTTTACACTAGGGAGATGAGGAGTTCGGTTAAGCCACACAATGGGCAGCCTAATTTGGTATCGAATTCGTCATCCACGAGATTCTAAGACTTCTCACTTCTAAGTAAAGAGGAATACCACAAAACCGTAATACTGAATAGCTACTTGTCTTACCTTAAATGTTAGCATATTTAAATATTATTTTATTATTTTAAACCGATAACAACTCAACTTTCATTATTTTTGTTTAAAAAAACATAAATGAAGTAATAAATTTTGGCATATTAGGTGGAAGAAAAATATTAACAATATGTCAAATTATCAAGTCAACCATCAAATTAAAATTTAATATTTTAAATTTGACATTTTTTTTTGAGAAATGCTTTCTCATTATTTATTGTTTTGGTAAAATACCTAGTTCCACAGCGGAAATTACCTTTTCTGTTGTAAAATCGATGGTGTGTGCAGTGGAATAAACAAATAAGACACAATATTTACGAGGTTCCTCTACAGTCAGTGTGACTGGAGTACGTCCTCGGGGCAGCAGCAATGCTTTTATTTATAATCTGAAGTAATAAGATTACAAAGATAACTCCCCTCTCTCTTTTCTCCCTTTCTGCCGTGAGCCTTGTGGCTTCTCACTTCTTCCTCTCTTCTTCCTTTTATCACCACATTTTAAACACTTGTAATGCTCTATTTATAGAGCAAACATTTTGAAAGCAAACAAAACACTATTAAACTTTTGAAAGGTTTACTATATGCATGTGGGCATACATACCCACTATTTACAACACTCCCCCTTGGATACCCACATAAGTCTTTAATTAACTTGTTAAAATCTTGATCTGTTTTTAATGCTCCCCTTGATAAGTATCTCCCCCTAATTTCAAATCATTTAGGCTGATCGTTGATCATTCTGTTTCAGTCTCTTAGTAAGAAGAGTTGCCGAAAGAGGTGCTTTACTTGTTGTTAACTTTCCACGGGCTTGTTCTAGAACTAGGCTGGAGGGTCTTCTACTAGACTTCCTACAAAGGTCTGAATTTACTTCTTTTATCTGGAGCTAAATTTAATTCAAGGGTGGTGGACACTTGATCTTGAATCAAACTTGTGATTTCTTCAAGGACCTTCGAGACTTGATCTTGAATGAAGTTGTACCGTGGGGAGCTTCACATGGCAAGTGATCTTCGGCTTTGTCGGGGATGAATCAGCACATGTTTATTGCGCTTGTCTCCACATACTTCAATGTATCATTTTCACTTGCCTTACTTGTTCCCCTTGCTTAAGTAGTATTTTCCCTGGTTTTCCCCATGCATGTGTGGCATATTCTCCTATAGTATTTGCTCTCTGATGCAGGAGTGGAATGCAACCCTTACATTTGGATGGTTCATCACTTCTTGGTGACTGGAGACCCAACTCCAACAACAGTTGAAGATGACTACTCGAGAGCAATACTAGGTAAGCAATCAGGAAAGGTTACAGGCAGTCAGTTCCTTACCGGAAGTTTGAATGGAGGTTCCGACATATTGCTTTCTTTATCCTTGTCTTTGCAGGTAAGAACAAGGACAAAGGAAAGGACAGGGAGATTGCATGATATGAGATACTTTTGCTCTCATCCCTGATGATATGAGATATTCTTGCTCTGGTGTGACTTGTTTTAAAGAGGTATTCTCGGAGAGGAAGAAAATTGAGTATTTCGAGATGCTGTGTTGAAAATGTATTCTCGGAGATGAGGAAGAGTTGGACATTCTTGCAAGTCTGCCTTGTTATGGAGAACGGAGGTCAACATATATAGAGATTTCCCCAATAGCAGGTAGTGGTGTGGATGTGGCTTTGTCATCCACGCTTGTTGGCAACATTGTTCTAGTTGGAATAGTAAGATTTACACGTTTTCAACTTTGTCAAAGATCTTTGACAAAGTTGCACGCGATATCAAAAAAGGCTGAGATTGCATTTGAAAATGCCAACGAACTTTATTCAGGAAAATCTGGTTTTTGAAATTCGGAAAGTGGTGCCTCTTCGATCTCTGAACAAGTGGCTCTGCTACCTCTTCTTTTATAAAGACATCAATTGTGTTCAAGAGTATAAAGTTGCTGCCTGTAGAAATTTTCCCCTTCTTGCACTTCTGAAATTTTATTTGACCTCATTTTTCCTTCATCATTTCTGAAAATGACTTGCCCATCTAACATTTGCTTAGATTTGAGTCTTAGGAGTGATACGGACGAGCATCGTCAAGATAATATATGGCGTCCGTCCTTCTTATCTTCTAATGGTCCTCTTATAATTGGGGACTCTGTGGTGAAAAATAGCATAACCGTTATTGTGGTAGCTAGGAATCTTCTCACTCCAAAGGATAACAGAATCCTTTTAAAACGGTCTAATGAGTTGGCCGTTCAAGACTCCTTGGCTCTCAGTGTTCAGTGTGCTGGCTTTGTTTCCAATATGGGGCAACGCCTACTTGCTCAAACTCACCAAGTTGAATCATTGATGGCTGAGGTGGCAAGTCTTAAACAAGAGATCTGAGGGCTCAAGCATGAGAATAGAGTGTTACACGTGCTTGCAAATAATTACTCGACGAACATGAAAAGAAAGCTAGACTAGCTGCAAGAATCCGAAAGTCGGATTCAAAGTGATCACCAGAGGTTCGTTGCTAGATTCTAAAAGCAACTGATGCATTCCCCTTCTGGTGTTTTGCCAAGTACTGGGGTGCCACATGATCAATCTCTAATGCCTTCTCCTTCTAGGGTACTTTCGAGTATTGAGGCTTCACATAAGCAACCTTTGTGAATGCTTCATCCTGGTTGTTTGTTTTAACTCATGTGTATGTATATATCTGTAATTTCTCGGAGATATTAATAGATAAGCTTTATTTCATTCAGTGTATTGTGCTAAATACAATAAAGCATATACTTCACCAAGATGTGGTACTTCTGGACCAAATATCAATTTATCTTTACCCTCACGAAGATAAATGATCTTTCTTAGTGTCTACATCATTTGAGTATTCAACTCATAATCTTCAATCCATGGTTCTTTTAATATTATAAACATCATGGATAAGATTCGTGTTGGTAAATTGTTCGATCTGCAGTCCGAGACAATATTTCTCTCAACACTTTATAATCTTTCTTGACTCTTTAGGAGTCTCAATTTAATATCATCAACTCTTCAGGAATTCTAATTTAATGTCATTAACTTTTGCAAGAGATTTTAGTATGTTGCAACAATATCATAATGATAGTACTCACTAAGGAAATTTATATCATCCATTAGTATTGAGTACATAATTCATGTTTTACCCTTCCGGGGCTTACTTCAAGCAATTTGAATCATTCAAGGATTTTCTACACTTCATGACATATTTTTCTTTGGAATTTGTACAAAGCAACTTGCTCCCATGTATAATTGGGGGATTTACTTATAGAGATATGATGTGGCTGACTCACAACCCTTCGTATATAATTCTCCATTCATATGAACTTGTTTACAAGAGTATAATTTCAGATTTCAATTAGTAACCTTGTGTCATATCATATGAGTGTATTTCACTGTATTACAAATGCCCAATGTAACCTCCTTAGTTCAACATCTTTTAGCTATTTGTATTTCAAGTATATAGGTCCATTTTTCCACGTTCTTACAAAATTGTAATGGAATTGCCTTTCTCCATTTTGGCCAATAATTTTGTTGACGAAAAAGAATGAGACTCAATATCAACACAACTCATTGATGAATTTAGTAGCTACTTGTAAAAACCAAAATTACCATTGGTTATCATCAATCCGTGATCCCATATTCTCATGTGCATGCGCATGCATAAAAACTTTTTATTTCTTTTTGGATATCCATTGCCTCTTCAAGGGCACATAACCTCTTCTTGAGCGTTATAGAGCTTGGATTTTAATCTTCACTTTTGGGAGTTGAGTCATTGGAACCTATATGTCTATCATACTCCATGCATGAGACATCAACATTCCTATGTCCGCGGATTGTCCTTTCTAGGATGTATATCCATGCGGCGATTGTCATACTTCTAACATGTAACAGTTATGTTTCGGGAATGCAATAATTCAGTAATGCCATATTCTTCTTCTTTCGAATGAATGAACCTTTTGAGTCTAAGGGTCTGCCACGCTTCAGGCGTGCAACAGATAAATCATTTACTGCACCATAATTTTGTCCAACAGGGACATTAATTCTTGTAGGCACATTTGTAGCAAGTATATGTGATTTCATCACTTTCGTTGCATCATTAAGTTGTTCTTACTTTATTTTCTCATTGATTGCTTTGTGAATCAAAATAAGACAAAGTCTCTTTGTTCTTCTGGAATGATTTTTTCTCATCATTCTTCTGGAATGATATTTTCTCATCGTTCTTTTGGAATGATGTTATTTTCTCCCCATAATGGCGGGAAAACTGTCTTATCAAAATCATAGTCTGCAAATAATGTGGTAAATATATCCCCAGTCAAGGGTTCCAAATGTTGAATGATAAATGATGTTCAACATCAATGCCTAATCGGCGATGATGCCTCATTTCAATACATTATGGCAATGCAATAGGCACATAGATAACACAATAAAAAACTCGTAAATGTGTAATATTTGGCTGGTGCTTAAACACGAGTTGTACTGAGAGATATCGATGGTTGGTAACTGGTCTCAACCAAACTTAATAGTGAATTATGTAAAATGGCATGTCCACATGTAGAAAAACTTGCAATTTCGTTTTCATGAGCAGAGCACGGGTAATCAATTTCATCCGATTAATAAATGCTTCTGCTAAATCATTTTGAGTATGAACATGAGGAACATTGTGTTCAACATCAATGCCCAATGACATGCAATAATCATCAAAATTTCGAGATGTAAACTCTCCAGCGAATATACATTATATCATCATTTACATACATCAAGGAACTTCTGGTCCTTATTTAATAGCCTATGGATTGAGATTCTCATGGCCTTTATTACAATTAAGTTGAGGCACTGCAACATTTCAAACTTAAGGTACTTATCAAGAAACTTCATGTCCGATCTTGAGGATCTAGTGACTTCATGCCTGATCTTTTTACATGATGGAACTTCGGGTCCAATCATTTTATGTGATGAGGATCAAGAAACTTCAGGTTCTGATTTGATCAAGGAACTTGATTTGATCAAGGAACTTCAGGTCCAGTATGTACTCATCGTAACAAAAATAAGTACAATAAATAAATTAAAGCAATAGGCGGTAATTCTGGCCATGGTAAATAAATTGTTTTTAAGTAAATAAAGTTTGTGACAAGGGCTTTGATTTAGCACCATTTACATAAATATCAAAGCCTTAAAGAAAAGGATAATAATTTTACCCAATGTAAATAAATTGCTTTAAATAAATAGAACTTGTGAAATGATTTTAAGCCAACACTATTTACATAAATAAATAATATAAGAACCTTTTATTTTGCCACTTCCTTTTGTCCCTTTTTGTTAATTAATTTTTTTTTTCTTTCTGTCGGCACCAAGCTTCAAAACTTTTTCTTTTCTCACATGCTGCACAATTCCAAAAAAACAACTTTGCCTTTTGTTTTCTTTCACATGGTGCAACATACCTTTTCAAGGCTTTGGCCCCATTTCCCTTTTTATTTTTGTTTTCACAATTCTGAAGTCATTTTGGTTACCCAGGAAATAATAGTAACAATAAGTACCAATTGGTGTTCCTCCTCCGTGAGTTTCGAAAAAGTCGAAACGGTTCCCATAAGTTTTGGAGTCAAGAGTGTCTACAACTTATGAGAAGATCACCGTTAGATTTAGCTCAAACTTTAGTATGATATGGATAAGAGGATATTGAACAACGTTTGTGAAGAAACAATTTCAATCTGAGCTACCGAAATGGAGTTTTGGTACTCATAAGGTGGCTGTCCAGTTTTCTGCTGAAATTAGAAACTGGTTTGGTATTTCAGATATCTGCGACGATCGCACAGTTAAAATTTTCTGAAATTTTGATATGTTGTAAATACTGAGCAGACGAACAACTTTCAAGAAGAAAGTATTTCAATCCGAGGTCCGCAAGTTGGAGTTCTGAGGCTATTTATATGGCTGTCAAATTCTTTACAAATTTTGAGTCTGTACTCTTTTGCTTCTTCAAGGGATGATATACAGTCATACAACAATATATATAGTTGCTTCAAGAAAATCAATTGTATTGAGATTTAAAGATGAAATGAAAAGATTTTCTTATCTGCGAGATTCCATTTCCAGCTGAAGGAGGTGAACAGGATTTGTGGCGCTGTGCTTTCCACTGACATGAGAGCTTCTCATGCTGATAACGTGTTGTAAAATCGACGGTGTGTGTAGTGGAATAAACAAATAAGACACAAAATTTACAAGATTTCTCTACAGTCAGTGTGAATGGAGTACGTCTTCGGGGCAGCAGCAATGCTTTTATTTATAATTTGAAGTAATAAGATTACAAAGATAACTCTCCTCTCTCTTTTCTCCCTCTCTGCCATGAGCCTTGTGGCTTATTACTTCTTCCTCTCTCTTCCTTTTATCACCACATTTTGAACACTTGTAATGCTTTATTTATAAAGCAAATATTTTGAAAAGCAAACAAAACACTATTAAACTTGTGAAAGGTTTACTATATGCATGTAGGCATACATACCCACTATTTACAACATTTTTTTTTCTTTTGTTAAGCAAACAGGGAAACCTTAACTTTTTATGTTGTAGAGTCATTCCTCCGCCTGTAACTTTCAATCTCATGCATGTGTAAAATCCGGATCCTTTTCCTAGGATTCTAGAGATTTCATGATCGTAACCGTTCATCGTACATTATGTGGTTAGAAATCATTTCAAAATTTAAAAATTTTAAATTAAATATAAATAGTACCTAACGAAAATTGACCATACTATATACGATGAACGGTCACGATCAAGGGATCCCTATGATCTCTAGGAAAATGATCTGACAAGAATCCTTTTCCGTAAAATCATATCTTTTGTGTTTATATATATATTTATATATTATTTGTATTGCTGCGTACTTTCTGTGTTAAACCTCGCTGATATTTTTCTCCACTGGAATGAGTGGAAGGTCCTCCTCCTTTTCCTCCCTATGACTAACAACCAAAGACTCAATTAATTACACAAGAACTGCTTGGAAAGCAAGCACAACTGCAGTTTCATCGAAGGTGCTCTTACAAAAACCATGTTATGTAGTTAAACACAAAAGTCTTTGTAGCCCACTTGACCATAAAATGCAATTGATCGATCGGGTCAAATCAACAATCAATTATTGCATTGTCCTGTCCTGTGTGTTTGATTCCATTAAATCAGAAATTATATCGTTTGTGGTTTACCCCAATCACGGAAGCCCACAAAGAACGACTTATTGACTTACATTATTTATAATTATGGAAAATACTAAAAAACCTATTTTAAAAGTAGAATTCTCTATAGACATTATGTTATTTATATATTTTTTGCATAATATTTTATAATATTGGTACGATAATTGACGTTAAACTATAAGGTGGTAGATGCGAGATTTTTCAGTATGACCGTCACACGAGGTGGTACACCACGTGTCATTATATAAATGATGAGATATGTGTCTTAAAAAGTTAATAACTTAAAAAAAAAAATATTTTTACCACTTACGTAAAAACACGTAATGTACCACCCGTATTCCCGTCACAACTCAAAATTTCTACTGGTAGAGAGTTCCACTTTGAGAGTCTCTTTAGCATTTCTCATAATTTATTGTTTAGGTAATGCTAGGGAAACTAAATATGGAGACAAAAATTTGGAGATTAAATGATGTATCACCAATAAGAATGAATACGTTTAACAACGCTTAAATAATAAACTAATCATTAACTAGTATGTCCTTTATTTTCCAAACTTTTATCTACAAATTTATTCTCATTTAACATTATCTTTATTGTTTTGGTCAATACCTAGTTCTACAGCGGAAAATACCCCTTTTTTTTTTCTTTTGTTAAGCAAACGGAGAAACCTTAACTCTTTCATTTGTAAAATCATTCCTCTTTACCTGCCCCTTTCAATCTCATACATGTGTGAAATCTTTTATTTTCTGTTTATATATAAATTATTTGTATAGCACACCTGTTTCAAACCTCGCTGATATTTTTCTCCATGGGAATGAGTGGAAGGTCCTCCTCCTCCTCCTCTATGCGGATTTTAATTGCGGCTTTTATTGTTATTAGCTTATCCCCTAAAACCATTTGTAACGCCGCCCAGCAAACGTGTACCCCTTCTTCCTGCGGCCATATCCGCAATATAAGCTACCCTTTTCGACTAAAAGGTGATCCGCGCCACTGCGGCGATTCACGCTTCACCCTTTCTTGCGAGAACAATATTACCATACTAAGCATAAGTTTATCTGGCGAGTACTATGTACGGGCAATCAACTACCATAATCAAACAATCCGAGTCGTTGATCCGGGCATTGACAAGAGCAATTGCTCCTCCCTTCCTCGTCATTCTTTGGGTTATTCTATGTTTACCGATCCGTATGATATATACAACCCCGACGTCGAAAATTGTACTGGTTATGAAGCAGATGCGAAAAACAAAAGATTTACGGATGCATCATCATCGCCACCAATCTGCTCAAGAACAATAGCTTTAACGTTTTTGAAGTGCGGGAGTCCAGTGAATTCATCTCAATCTCTGTCCGTGGTCGACACTGCTCTATGTTATCCTGTTGAATCTACTTCGACTTCTTCTTTGTCATGGTCGTCGTCCGCATCCCCCCAACCAAAAACTTATGGCTATGTCGTGATTGGACCGTTTCGTGTATGGGAGTTGAATGAAGGTTGCAGCATAGAGCGAGTGACTTTCGCCTACTTGTCCGACGACTACGACGCTTCTTATAAATCCATACACAATTCTCTGGTATATGGCTTTGAGCTTAACTATACGGTCTATTCCTCTCGTGACTCCCATTGCGGAGGAGCCCAGTGGAGATACAGTGTTAGATGGAACAATGTTCAATGTTATCCTCACAGCGTTGGAGGTGAGTAGTGAATAAATCTCAATTTTAATTTTTCATTCATTTATCATCTCTTGTACCTAAACAAGTAATATAGAAGCTTATTTATATAAATGATCGCAGAGGCAATGGTCATCCTTTGTCTCTCTTATGAAATCTGTTAGACCAACAAGTTTGAGATTTTAATTTAAAAATCAACACGTGTGCCCACTAATGTTGTATTTTTCTTCTTTTTGCTCTGTCACTGTAGGTTTGTTTCGACTTCTATGGGCTGGGATTCAAGTTTCAAGGTAAGAGATCTATATATGAGTGCTTATATGACATTTGATAGATAAAATTTAACTTTAGAGGACATACAAAATTAACATGTTTGTTAATCCTCTCTAATAATAGTGTAATAATAGTGTGTCCTATCATTTCATGTGAGTCTCATCTGTATTAAAGTGTGTAAGCAAATATATCAATTTTGTTGTGAATTAAGAATTAATTTGTATGTTAGATTAATGGTTTAATTCCATAATTTCTAGGTCACTCTATCGAAAAAATAATAAATTTTACCGGATTACCATAGAAAATTATATGATATCAGTGCATGTCCCTGCATCCTAGATTGATTCTTGCATAGATGGGGCTAGTGAGTTATGATCGTGTAGGATGAAAATTTGTTTCAAGACGCATATAGTTCATTTTTTTATACTTTCTTCACCCACACAACTGTGTACAAAGCAGAGAAGTGAATAACTGGATACAATAAAGTATTGCCTTATATACCTTATTGTTTGTCTAAGTTATAACACACAGAAACAAAATCTCCATCCCTTTTGTAAATAAAGCTTTCATGTCCACCCACCAACGCTATTTACACCTACTTTTTAATTAAAATTACATATTTAACCTGTGTAAAATGACTTTTGTGACCCCAATAAAAATTAATTTTATTTTGTATTTTGTAGCTAAAAGAATAAATGAAACTAAACAACAACAACAACAACAAAGCCTTTTCCCACTAAGTGGGGTCGGCTATATAAATCCTAGAACGCCATTGCGCTCAGTTTTGTGTCATGTCCTCCGTTAGATCCAAGTACTCTTAAGTCTTTTTCTAGGGTCTCTTTCAAAGTTTTCCTAGGTCTTCCTCTACCCCTTCGGCCCTGAACCTCTATCCCGTAGTCACATCTTCGAACCGGAGCGTCAGTATGCCTTCTTTGCACATGTCCAAACTCATTTTGTGTACGTGTTGATGCTTCACCACCCAACATTCTGTGCCATACAGCATCGCCAGCCTTATTGCCGTCCTATAAAATTTTCCCTTGAGCTTCAGTGGCCTACGACGGTTACACAACACGCCGGATGCACTCTTCCACTTCATCCATCCAGCTTGTATTCTATGGTTGAGATATCCACCTAATTCTCTGTTCTTTTGCAAGATAGATCCTAGGTAGTGAAAACGGTCGCTCTTTGGTATCACCTGATCTCCGATCCTCGCCCTTAACTCATTTTGGTCTCCATTTGCACTGAACTTGCACTCCATATATTATGTCTTTGATCGGCTTAGGCGAAGACCTTTAGATTCCACCACTTCTCTCCAAAGGTTAAGCTTCGCAGTTACCCCTCCTGAGTTTCATCTATCAACCCTATATCATTTGCAATTAAGGATTGTTGATGCACAAAATCAGTGAGGACTTCGGTACAACAACAAGTATTAAGTTATTGCTCTGGTCATTAGAGTGGATAAGTATGTAAATGGATAGAGACAGGAAAGCAAACATAAGATGAACGTGGTTCACCCAGATTGGCTACGTCCACGGAGTAGATGAGTTCGCATTAATTGTGAAGGGTTTACACAAGTACATAGGTTCAAGCTCTCCTTTAGTGGGTACAAATGAATGATTTAGTACAAATGACATTAGGAAATATTGTGGGAGAATGATCTCGTAATCACGAAACTTCTAAGTATTGAAGTGTGGTATCGTCTTCACTTGCCTTATCTGTCTCATAGGTAGATGTGACATTTTCTTTGGAAGTACTCTTCCTCCATCCAGGGGCGGTAGCTTTAACTGGTGGAGATGCACAAGGTAATGTATCAATTTCACTTGAAGCTTACTTGTAGTGTCAGGCTTGGTCAAGCGCGATACAAACCATGTAGTAGGAGTCCCCCAAGTCGCCGAGCTAGGGGATCTGCTGAAAGATGTGACAGACAAGGTAAGCAATCAGAGCTCTAAGTAATCAGTCCCAGATCAGAAGTTTGATTTCGAGTTCCGGCTGATTGTTCTCATTCTCCCTATCTTGCAGGCAGCATGAAGGATAAAGAGAAGAAAAGGAGAATAGATGATATGAGATACTTTTGCTTTTGAAGAAGTAACTTTCCACAGGCTTATTCTTGAACTGGGCTGGAGGGTTTTCTGGTTTCCTCCAGAGTATAAAGCCGACTGAAGAATTTGAGGGTCAAAACAAGTCCATCAAATCTAGAGTACGTTCGACCCTGCTGATATGGGATACTTTTGCTGTTGACAAAGTAGTGGATGTATCGGCACGTGTTTTGTTACGCTTGTCTCCACATGCTTGTATCCTTCTCACTTTCCCTATCGGCTCCTCAGGCAGATGTGGTATCTTCTCTGGAAGCATAAGATGTTGAAGATGAGTACTCGAGAGCAATGCCAGGTAAGTAATCAGGTAAGGGGTTCCAGGCAGTCAGTTCCTGACTGGAAGCTTGATTCCAAGTGCTGACTGATTGCTCTCTTTCTCCTTGTCTTGCAGGTAAGAACAAGGCCAAAGGAAAAGACAGGGAAAAAGCATGATATGGGATACTCTTGCTTTTAACCCTGATGATATGAGATATTCTTGCTCTGGTGTAGCTTGTTTGCAGAGGTATTATCGGGGGGAAAGAAAGCTGAGTATTTCGAGAGGCTTCGTTGGGAGTGCCCTCTCAGATATGAGGAAGGGTTGAGCATTTTTGCAGGTCTGCTTGTCCGTTGAGGATGGAGGTCGACATATATAGGAGTCTCCCTAACAAGAAGTAGTAATGCTATTCCTTTACCCTGCTTAGTCATAGCACGGTAGTGGGAGCTGCCAGCTTCACGTGTGTCAGAGCACTTTGAAAAAGTGGTATGTGGTATCTGGAAAGCTAATGTTGCGTGTGAAGATTACAGACAGGTTTTATCCAAGGAGATCTAGCTCTCGAAGTTGAGAAAGTGATGCTTCTTCGGTTTTCGAACAAGCAATCATGTCGGGGATCTATCTCTCGAGATTCGGAGAACGGTGCCTCTTCGATTTTTGAGAGAGCACTCCTGCTGGGAGTCTGGCTCTCGAGATTCAGAGAGTGGTGTCTCTTCGATTTTTGAGAAAGTAATCATGCTGGGAGTTTCGGAGGACGGTGCCTCTTCGATTTTGGAGCAAGCAATCTTGTTTGGAGTGTTTTCTCAAATGTGAGTAAAGGTAGGGCATGTTTGCTAGTCTACCTTGCCATGGAGCACATAGGTTGACACACAGGGACTTTCCAATTATCCAGCCGTGGTGCTGTTCCTTTACCCTTGTAGGTAATAATATGATAGCTAAACCTTCAAAATTTCTGTGTCTAAAACTTTATTGGTGTTGTTTCTTTGCTATTCTTTTACCCTTCTTGGTCATAGCGATGTAGTGGGAGCTGCAAGCTTCACGTGTCTAAACTTTGTTAGAGATCTTTGGCAAAGTTATCTGTGGTACCCATGAGCTGATGGTGCGTGTGAAAAATGGATGATTGAATAGTAAGATTCACGTGCTTTCTACTTCACCAGAATGCCCGTAATTTCAGCAAAGCTGAGTGTGCATGTGACAGATGCTGACAAGCCTGAAAAAAAGCAGGTGCCTCTTCAATTTCGGAGATCGGCCCTCGTGGTCTCTGAGCAGCCCAGCTTTTGAGAAAGCAAATGCCTCTTCGATTTCTGAGATCGGCCCTCGTGGTCTCTGAGCAGCCCAACTTTTGAGAAAGCAAACGCCTATTCGATTTTTGGGCAGACGCCTCTTCGATTTCTGAAGCTCCGTCGAGTGCAGATTTTTATAGAGGCTGGCATTAAGTTTCAAAGCACACTTGAATCTTCACCAGTAGAAGCTCCCTTCTTGCACTTCTAAGATCTTGATTTGTCCGACCTCTTCTCTCTTCAACACCTTTGAAAATGTCTGGCCCCTCCGACCGTCGTTTTGACTTGAACCTTGTTGAAGAGGCAGCCACGCCTTCTCCAGACAACATATGGCGCCCATCCTTCTTATCCCCTACTAGTCCTCTTACCGTTGGGGATTCCGTGATGAAGAATGATATGACTGCTACGGTGGTGGCCAGGAACCTTCTCACTCCCAAAGATAACAGACTATTTTCCAAACGGTCTGATGAATTGGCTGTTAAGGATTCTCTGGCTCTAAGTGTTCAGTGTGCTGGTTCTGTGTCTAATATGGCCCAACGCCTATTTGCTCGAACTCGCCAAGTTGAATCATTGGCGGCTGAAGTGATGAGTCTCAAACAGGAGATTAGAGGGCTCAAGCATGAGAATAAACAGTTGCACCGGCTCGCACATAACTATGCTACAAACATGAAGAGGAAGCTTGACCAGATGAAGGAATCTGATGGTCAAGTTTTACTTGATCATCAACGGTTTGTGGGTTTGTTCCAAAGGCATTTATTGCCTTCGTCTTCTGGGGCTGTACCGCATAATGAAGCTCCAAATGATCAACCTCTGATGCCTCATCCTTCTAGGGTTCTGTCCAGTACTGAGGCTCCGAATGATTCCCCTCCGGTGCCTTCTCTTTCTGGGACTCTACCGACTGCTGAGACTTCTCCTAAGCAACCTTTGTGAAGGCTCCCTCTTATTTGTTTATTTTGACTCATGTATATGTACATATTTGTAACTTATCGGAGATATCAATAAATAAGCTTTGCTTCATTTCCAACGTATTGTGTTAAAGACACCAAAGCCTTCTTCACTGAGTGGGGTCGGCTATATGAATCTTAGAACGCCATTGTGCTCGGTCCTGTGTCATGTCCTCCGTTAGATCCAAATACTCTAAGTCTTTTCTTAGAGTCTCTTCCAAAGTTTTCCTAGGTCTTCCTCTACCCCTTCGGCCCTGAACCTTTGTCTCGTAGTCGCATCTTCTAACCGGAGCGTCAGTAGGCCTTCTTTGCACATGTCCAAACCACCGTAACCGATTTTCTCTCAACTTTCCTACAAATTTCAGCTACTCCTCCTACTTTACCTCGGATATCCTCATTCCTAATCTTATCTTATCTTTTCTCGTGTGCCCACACACCATCCAACGAAGCATCCTCATCTCCGCTACACTCATTTTATGTACGTGTTGATGCTTCACCACCCAACATTCTGTGTCCATACAACAACATCACCGCCTTATTGTCGTCCTATAAAAATTTTCCCTTAAGCTTCAGTGGCATACGGCGGTCACACACCAGACCGGATGCACTCTTCTCCACTTCATCCATCCAGCTTGTATTCTATTGGTTGAGATCTATCTTTCTCCGTTCTTTTGCAAGATAGATCCTAAGTAGCGAAAACGATCGCTCTTTGGTATTTCCTGATCTCCGATCTCACCCTATTGGCATTCTCCTCCATTTGCACTGTCCATTACTTGCCATCCTTTATATTCTGTCTTTGATCGGCTTAGGCGAAGACCTTTAGATTCCAACACTTCTCTCCAAAGGTTAAGCTTCGCATTTACTCCTTCCTGAGTTTCATCTATCAGCACTATATCGTCTGCGAAAAGCATACACCAAGGAATATCATCTTGAATACGTCATGTTAACTCATCCATTACCAACGCAAAAAGGTAAGGACTTAAGGATGAGCCTTGATGTAATCCTACAATTATGGGGAAGCTTTCGGTTTGTCCTTCATAAGTTCTTACGGCAGTTTTTGCTCCTTCATACATATCCTTTATAGCTTGGATATATGATACTCGTACTCCTTTCTTCTCTAAAATCCTCCAAAGAATGTCTCTTGGGACCCTATGATACGCTTTTTCCAAATCTATAAAGACTATATGTAAATCCTTTTTCCCATATCTATATCTTTCCATCAATCTTCGTAAGAGATAGATTGCCTCCATGGTTGAGCGCCCTGGCATGAACTCGAATTGGTTGTCCGAAACCCGTGTCTCTGGCCTCAATCTATGCTCAATGACTCCCTCCCAGCGCTTCATTGTATGACTCATTAGCTTAATACCCCTATAGTTCATGCAGTTTTGTACGTCGCCCTTATTCTTGTAGATAGGCACCAAAGTGCTCTTTCGCCACTCATTTGGCATCTTCTTCGTTTTCAAAATCCTATTGAAAAGGTCAGTGAGCCATGCTATACATGTCTCTCCCAAGACTTTCCACACTTCGATCGGTATATCGTCTAGGCCCACTGCTTTTCAATGCTTCATTTTCTTTAAAGCTACAACCACTTCTTCCTTCCTGATTCGACGATAAAAGGAGTAGTTTCTACACTCTTTTGTGTTACTCAACTCCCCTAAAGAAATACTCCTTTCATGTCCTTCATTGAAAAGATTATGAAAATAACATCTCCATCTGTCTTTGACCGCGTTCTCTGTAGCAAGAACATTTCCATCCTCATCCTTGATGCACCTCACTTGGTTTAGGTCCCTTGTCTTCTTTTCCCTTGCTCTAGATAGTTTATAGATATCCAACTCTCCTTCTTTGGTATCTAGTCGCTTATACATATCGTCATAAGCCGCTAACTTAGCTTCTCTCACAGCTTTCTTCGCCTCTTGCTTCGCTCTTCTATACCTTTCACCATTTTCATCAGTCTTGTCCTTGTATAGGGCTTTACAACACTCCTTCTTAGCCTTCACCTTTGTTTGTACCTCCTCATTCCACCACCAAGATTCCTTTTGGTATGGAGCAAAGCCCTTGGACTCTCCTAATACCGCTTTTGCTACTTTTCGTATACAACTAGCCATGGAATCCCACCTTTGGCTAGCTTCCCCTTCTCTATCCCACCCACATTGGGTGATTACTTTCTCTTTGAAAATGGCTTGTTTTCTCCTTTTAGATTCCACCATCTAAATGAAACTAAAATTTTAAAAAAAAATCCAAAGTGAATAGAAAAAAATTCCAAAGCAACGATCTCTACCAACTCTTGCTGCCGCTATTCGATGTAGAGCACCTCCACCCATCTTATTTTGTCATGGCAAGGTGCCAAAACCACTCCAAAACACACATATTATGAGCCTTGGTAATTGGTTGTCATTTCTTGGGCCATGACAGTTCTAGCCCAAGCCAAGCCATGGCAGGATGACGTCATGTTGCATTGAGTCAAGTCAAAAAGCTGGAAATACAACGATCTTTGCCACATCGCACCTTTTTTGCCCTTCAGTTCAAATAGTACTTAAATTCAACAATCTCGAATCTTTCATAAATTAAAAAAAGAAAATCATTTAAAATTTTAATTATATATTTCAAATAAAAAATTTCCATTTTTTCACTAAAAATAAAATATGAACACATGGTGCAGCTATAGAGAAGAAACAATCCAGTTAAGCAATTGATATGTCAAGAACGACCTAACAGAAGCTTTCATTAAGCGCCTTCAAATGATTGTTTGATCGTTGGTCATACGTACCAGCTTTTGATCACTGCTTAGGGCCATGCAATATTGCACGTAGCAATGTTGGTCTGCCTAAGGCCCGACGCGATCCAACCATATAGCACATTTCAGTTCGTTACCGGATAAGAACCCAGCATATCACATCTGCGCGTTTTTAGTTGTGCATTCTATATGCCAATTGCGCTGCCCTTACGTACTAAATGGGTCCTCAAAGAAAGATAGGAACCTATGTCGGTTATGATTCTCTTTTTATTATTTGTTACTTAAAACCTTTGACAGGCGATCTCCTTACCACTCGTTTTGCAGATTGTTACTTCTGCGAGACAGTCTTTCCGTCGTTAGGGGGAGATAAGAATGTCAATGTTCCTGAATAACGACGTGAATTATTGTGGACGACTCCCACTTTGTCTCATTTAGAGCCATGCACCGCCCTGTCTGAGATTGAAATGCGATGCATTCTAGATCTTCAGAACGTAGCTTAGGGCATACCAGATGCTTTCACTGATCTAGCGAAAGTGACGAGATCATATATACCATCTGCAAACGTGCCTGCAAAGATGGATGTACCAAATGTATGACGGGTTTCCCTCTTGGAAGGCCGGGACGCCCCCGTGGCTGACCCACGTACATTGGCAGCTAACCAATCATCTACTCCTACCCACAAGTGTGACAGACCTCTTGGTTCAAAGGATTCACAAATCCAGAAGAGGAAATCCACGACACATGCTGTTGAGCCTACCGTGAATCTAACTATCGCCTAATCATTCTATCCAACGCATGAGGAAATTATAGATTATGGAAGCATCATGGAAGACACGAATCCACCTGCAAAGAATTGAAAGATTTCGATCCATTATACTAGCTTGGATGATGTTTGGTATAGAAATGAGATGATAATTGACGATGCATTAGCATATGTAGTAGCTACTGAGATCATGTTAAGCGATGACATTAAACCTTGTTTTGTTGATGAATGTCGATGTAGAACTGATTGGTCCAACTGGAAATAAGCAATTGAAGTCAAACTTGATTCTCTTGCGAAACACGAGGTGTTTGGGCCTGTAGTTCCTACACCGCAACATGTGATGATAATCAAGATTGTTTGATTAAAGCAAATCAGTCACGAATCAAGACAAACTCAAGCCTTGGTTCTTTCATCAATTAAAGTTATTTGGCACACGAATCAAGTCCAAATCAAGTCTTGTTTCTTTTGTCAATCAAAATAATTTGGTCAAATTAATTGATTTGGTTCAAATCAAGTCTCGACGTGGAGAAGCCTATAAATACGAGGCTCGAAGACAAAGCAAAGATGGCAAAGACACACCGGGTCCAAACGGTTCCAAAAAAAAAAAAAAAGCGTGGAGACAATTTTGACAGCATCAAACTAGTGGATGCAAACCACTTAAAGTCAGTGGAGAACCACATAATATTAGTATATGCAAACCACTTAAAATTAATGGGTCGAATTCCCGTTAATTACTATACTAGTCAAAATGGCACAAAGCCGTTCCAAATCCCATGTGGCACAAAGCCGCATCCAAGTTCGCAATTTGGAACTATGTTGGTTTGATACCACAAAGGGTGTGTAGGCAATCTAGTATTAAATTCTAGACACACCACAACGAAACCCCAATCTAAGCAGATAAACGCTCTTGTGTTCTTCAACAAGCTCGCAGAGAATCAACAAGTGCAACAAAATCATGCCAATTCATCCACCACCAAAGCCTAAGATCAAACATTGACAACCCTTGAAGTAATCACAATCTTAATACAGGATCAAGTGTTCACCACTCTTAAATTGAATTCTACTTTGGAGTTTGAATCAAAGGATTATTCTTCTAAAAGAATAGCTACGTAGAGATTGTAACCCTAAGCACTCATTAATACAAATCCATTATTTGTAATGTGTGCTTTTGTTATTTGTCATTTTGTGTTTACAATTTGGCATACCTGGTGGGACTATCTCTGCCTCTCATCTCTTTCTCCAAGTGAGTCAACTCCAATCCAAGCAATGACGTTGAAGAAGGCTCAAGTTACATCCATGAATCTAGGTAAGAATGTGATTGGTTTCATAACAAGGTGCGACCTTGTAGGCATCGTCTCACAAAGCAAGACGAGGGCATCCCTCTCAACCCAACACACCGCTCCAACGGTGTTTCCACTTATATGACATGGAGTTTGCCACAAGAATCTATTGTCCATCATCTCTGTGACTCAGAGCGAGTTGGAGGCTTTAGCCCAACAAACTGATGTCATGGGGCATTCGTCCAAGATGCACATAGTACATCAAAAGAACAAGTCGGTTATTTCCTTTGCTTCGTTGTGGATGAAAAAGCTTATATCTCGAAGCAATGAAAGATGCCCGCCCATAACTAAGGATTCAATAGTGCGGTCATCCTTCCTTGCTTGTAATGTGTACTCAAAATAGGTTCATGCCAAGTGCTTTAGCCATCAACCACTCCTTGCACGCACGAGTTAAAACTAGTTGATTATTTGAGGAATCAAATCGGGTACGACTCAAGTCCAAATCAAGTTTTAATTCTTTGTCAATTAAACTTATTCGGCACACGATTAAGTCCAAATCAAGTCTTGGTTTTTTTATCAATCAAAATAATTTGATCAAATTGCCAAAATAGTTAAAACATATAATAATAATATACTTTATTTTTATTTATAATCTCTCCTACTTTCACTCTCTCTCCTGTCCCCCATTTTCTCCGCCGCTATTCCTCCCTCATCTCAACTTCACTGGATCTTCGAGAGCAACCCCGTCGTCAGTGGTCGCATGGCCACCGTCAACATCTCCACCCACACCTTCGAGGCCGGCGCCTCCATTCTCCACCCCAGGAACTTGCACTCTTTGAACTACACCAAGCTCCTCAACCTCGCCGTCAAAAGCCCCTCCTCCTCTTCCGCGCTTCAAATCAAAGCTTCCCTTTGCTGATAAGATTGTTTTGCTTCCAATTCACTGCTCATGCTCTTCAGATACGGCTTCTCCCTTGTCAGGATGGACAAATTTGTTGAGGTATAAAAGTAAATAAATAAAAGGTTTGTTTATTGGGTTTAACTTAGCGTTTTGTTGTTGAATTTGGTAAATTTCTTTGTGTGGTGCAGATAAGATTGTTTGGCATCTTATTAATTTATTGGGTGTTAATTTGGTGAAGTCCTTGCCTATGAGAATCATCAATCCTGCTACTGAAGAAATCATGGTCCTTTTCTCACCCTAAGCATTTCTGTCAATTAAATTAATTTCTGGGTTGTTTTCTAAATTTAATTACTGTTTAATCATCGCATTTGATCGTGTGTAGGATCTAGAAGAAGGAGAGGGATAGTCGTTGGTGCAGTGGTGGTGGTCGGTGTTGAGCAGGAGTGGGAGGGACGGCGGCGGTCCTAGGGGTCTGATGCGGCGGGAGAACGAGGGAGTAGGAAAGAGATCCTTCCAGTTTGTAACAGGGACAAGGACGCATTTTGTAAAACTAGCGAGGGTGTAGGAGAGTTTCATTGAACATGCACTGTTCCTCTGTATGTTATGGAAAAAGGCTAGATTTTCAAACCAATGTTTCGCTGCTTCAGCTTTTAGTCTTTTTATTCACCCTCAATTTAAAAAAGCTGGTTTTAGAGTATTTACCAAACCCTAAAAAGACCGCAACTTTTTTTCATACCTGCATATTTTTTTTTTTAAATTTCAGCAGTACCAAACTGGTACTAAGAGCCCCAGACTTTCTTTAATTACACTATATTTGTGTTACACCTTTACAAGAGTGGTATTTAATCAATCACATAAACATGTACCTAACAAATAATATAGGGCATTCAATATGGATATGAAAAACTGCAACAAATTTCAATGTTAATCCAGGTGTGTGTAGGAGCGATATGTTTGTAACTACCTCCAGGGTATATGTAAGATGGCTTATCAGAAATTGGAAACCAAAATAGCTCCCTTAATTGATTAGGGGCTATATCTATGATGGCTTATCAGAATTTTTTATCTATACTTATGCTTTGCACTTCGAAAACTAGCTAGTTATTTCTCTTTGATTTTGTTATTATATCTTGTTGTATTTCTTGGGTATTTAATGTTCTTCACAATATTCACTTTACAAAGTTCAAGCTCTAGTCAAATTTGATTTACTCATCCTTCTGTTCTAAACGCAGGTTTTCTATTGTTCGTACTCTTTTGTTTTGGTAAGAGCTTTGCTAATATCTATGATATCCAATATTGAGCATATAGTTTGATCCAAGGCAACAAGTCAATTTCTTTTCTCATGATGTATTTTGTGATTTACTCCAATGTTCAGGACTACTTTTCGGGGTAAAATTTCTATTCGGGGCACCATTCGTGACTGCGTTTTTGATCTATACATGGAAAAGAAGACATTTGTCAATGTACAACTCCATAGAAGAATTTTTGCATGGTGAAAAGACTTTAGTGCCAATAAGGTACTCGTACTCGAACATCAAGAAGATGTCTAACAAATTTAAAGAAAAACTTGGTGAAGGAGGGTATGGATCAGTTTTTAAAGCAAGGTTACGGAGTGGACGTTTTGGGGCAATTAAGATGTTGGATAAGCCCAAAGGCAATGGACAAGATTTCATCAGCGAGGTAAATACTATTGGGAGGATTCACCATGTTAATGTGGTTCAGCTTGTTGGTTATTGTGTTGAAGGAACAAAGCATGCTTTGGTATATGACTTCATGCTCAACGGATCTCTTGATAAATACATTTATTGCAAAGAAGGAAGTATCCCATTAAGTTGCAAGACAACGTACGAGATTTCTCTTGGAGTGGCTCGAGGGATCAAATATCTACATGAAGATTGTGACATGCAAATATTACATTTTGACATCAAGCCTCACAACATTCTTCTTGATGAGAATTTCATACCGAAGATTTCTGACTTTGGGCTTGCAAAATTATACCCGGTGGATAATAGTATTGTATCTCTAACAGCAGCAAGGGGTACAATGGGATACATGGCTCCTGAGCTATTCTACAAGAATATTGGCGGTGTTTCGTTTAAAGCCGATGTTTATAGTTTTGGAATGTTGTTGATGGAAATGGCAAGCCGAAGGAAGAATTTGAATGCATTGGCAGAGCATTCAAGCCAACTTTACTTCCCTTCATGGGTTTACAATCAATATAATGAAGGAAAGGACTTCGAGGTGGGAGAAGTTGTGGAGGAGGAAAAACCATTAATAAGAAAAATGATTATAACCGCCTTGTGGTGTATACAATTGAAGCCAAGCGATCGACCTTCAATGAAGGAAGTCCTACAGATGCTCGAAGGAGATGTTGAATTACTTCGAATGCCTCCGGAGCCTCTTCTATATCCCAAGAGATGCCCGTAGGTGCTCCTAATGATAATCCGAATCCAACATATTCGAAGGTGGAGTTAACATCTTCTTTGACGGGTAGGTGAAGACACGCAACTAGCATGGACTCTGTCAGTTTGAATCTCAATGCAATGTTTCTGGTTTTGTAGTAGTACTGTGTGCATGATAAAACCCCCTTTCATTGATGTTAAATATGTTTAGTACAACATATTTTCATGATTCCAGGGATAAATAACATATTTCATGGAGGACATGTTGTATGATTCATGAAGACGATATTTTCTAATTTTTGTTCCAAGAAATTATTAGTTGTGATGATTGTTCGCTCGTGCTGATAATTCTGGTTCTAATGGGCTCATGCCGGCTGCTCTTACATATCTCCGGTTGTTATTTGTCCGTGGAGGGAGGGACCTCCCTAGTCAATATCGAAAACATTTTTTTTCTTGTGAATACAACGATATATTTACACTAAGGGGGAGTGGGTCGCCTAAGCCATACAATGGACAATCTAATTTGCTATCCAATTTGTCATCTACAAGATTTAAACTTAAGATCTCTCACTTGCAAGTGAAGAGGAATATCATCATATGTAGTATTGAGTGGCAATATTCGAAACCTTTTAGTTGGGTGGCAATATTCGAAACCTTTTAGTTTGCCAAGTCATTTCTTGGTTAGAAGTTTTTTAAGAAAGTTGAGGTTCCACCCCAAAATCAATTGGCAATATGAGAGTAGTCTAATTACTTATAAGTACATGTAAGGTCCCTTCTTTCTCTAATGTGGAATTCACTTTCAAAAAATATTTTGTCTGAGAATCCCTCCTTTTGTATTTGAAATGCTGCCTGCTCTGTACTGTGCAACCAGTTTATAGCCTTGGTGGAGGACTTAGCCTTCTCATTATAATTTCCTATGATACTTGAACGTAATGTCTATCACTTGCTGGAGCATCATTGTAATTGTAAGCCAAATGGAAGATTTGTTGATCACAGCCTTGGTGAAGATATTCAATTCCTTTGGCAAATGGCTAGATCTTGCATCCCAACCAAGAAATTTGTTGTTATTGTCTGCTGATGAAATGAAATCATGCAGTGATCTATTGAACAGCAGTTCGTCTAAATCCATAAACGCAGAAGCCAACCAAGGGAATAGCATGGTTGATATGACCCATTGTTCCCCCTTTATTTATGAACTCTTCTCCATCTCCCCTTCCAATTGTATAATATCATATGGTTTACCATATCGTATTTCGGTCACAAGTGAGATAATTAATCTCAATTCGAACTTAGCGATTAATATAATGATAATTTTTTTTTCATGATCAGGATTTTCAGCCTGGAGAGACAGTAAGAAGTTTGCCACACTGCCATAACATATTTCACCTGCCTTGTATAGATAAGTGGCTCCTAGGGCATGCCTCATACCCTCTCTGCGTAAGGGATTTGTGAATGTGATGATCTTCTTGTAGATTACCAAATGAGTAAAAAGTTCATTTATTGATTATACAAATTTTTTATCCTTTTCATTTGTATTGGTATTCACCAGACTGCTCTAGGATGAGCAAAATACTCATAGGTTTGGGTAACCATGTTTACCCGTCCATTTAAAGTTCACGGTTATGGTTATGGGTAACCATTTAGACGAACAAACGGTTATGAGTATAACCGTTTATTTTTGAAATTTAAATGGGCTGTTATGGATATTACCGACTGTTATAATGGGTATCTATTGGTTATGGGTATTATCCACGATTATACGGGTATCCATTTACCTATTTAATTTAATATATATAAAAATAAAAATAAAATTATCGCAGGGATTTTGAGGGGTTTTAGAAGTAGCTCCTATCGCAGGGATTTTGAGGGATTTTAGAAGTAGGCTCTCTCTCTCTCTCTCTCTCTCTCTCTCTCTCTCTCTCTCTCTCTCTCTCTCTCTCTCTCTCTCTCTCTCTCTCTCTCTCCCTCTCCCTCCTCTGGTCCTGACCCTCTCCTTCCCAGCTCCACTGCAGGGATTTTAATTATCACAGGGATTTTGGGTATGCTAAAATTCTAAGTACAGGTTCATGGTGTAGGCTCCGGCCATGAACTCTTTCTTGCAAAGTGCAAATGCAATAACAACATATATATATATATATATAAATACAAATTACACAATATAATTAATCAATTAAAATACACACAATCATCCAGTTGATCTGGTCACCATGTCTGTATGTGCTATCAATAGAACATTTGTGACTTGCCATCTTGATAGTTGATACGATGATATATCACTTTGTGAATATGATCTCGTAAACTATCATTTCAATTATTGAAATTGTATGAGGACTTGAATGATTAAAATATAGAAATGCATGCTAAAATGTACCTATAACGGTGCTTAATTGTCAGAAAACGAAAATTATGATAAATTTTTCTTTTGTAATTTTCAAGTTGTTAGAAAAAAAACATGTAGACGGATGAAAAAGGGTAAATGGGTAAAAAAAAAGAAGGATAAATAGGTTCAAAAACGGGTAATTGGTTATGGTTATGGTTAAATGGGTAAATGGTTATGGTTAAATAGGTACATGGTTATGGGTATGGATAACCATTTATAAACGGTTATGGTTATGGGTATAACCGTTTATGCAATTATCTAACAGATAAATGGTTATGCGGGTATGAATATAAACGGTTATGGGTAAATAACTACAGTTACCTACCCGCCATAATCGTTGCTCATCCCTAGATTGCTCCAGTAGCTGCAGGTTGGTTCATTGGAACTGATTATTTTGGTTTTGGCACAATCTGATATTTAATGTGGTAGTATGTGATACTAATAACACACTATTTTTGAAACCGAAAACCAAAATAATTCACACTATTTCTAGAACTACAACGAAATAACCCTCACTATTTCTGAAACTGAATCAAAATAATCATTGGAAACTACAATAAAATAACCCCCACTATTTTTGATACTTGTTGTATTGATGGTTTTGTTGGGTTTTTAGTTCTTTGATGATTTTTTATTGTAAATGGCTTCTCATCAGAAATTATTAAACACCGGATTTGCTATTTTGGTTGCGTAGCTATGCAGTTGCTCTCTCCAATCCATCTATCAGTCCACTTGATTGCTTGGAATAATTTGAAGGTAGTTAATTAAATTACTTTGCTTCTTTTTCGATCGACTATATATATTAGTGCTAGTTGCCTTGGTTAAGACTTTGAACCAGGGTTGGATGAAGTGATGGAGGGAGGCAGACAATGGTGACATACGGTGGGGATGGGCGGAGGGGTCGGATGACGGGTCGTGGACTAAGAAAACGGTGCCCATTAGTGCTCCCTTGCCTAAGACTTTAAGGGCCCTGACAGTCACCAGCGAGATCGAGCTCCGGCGAGGTTGGATGGTGAATGCGGGGATATGGAAAATGCAGAAAGTGATTTAAATTTTTTTTTATTATTAATATAATTCTTGTCGATTTTATCCGACAGGAAATGCTTTTATTTGTTCATTAGTAATTTATTCCTGTCGGTTTTATCCGACATGAAATGGTTTTATTTGTGCATTTTTAATTAATTTCTGTCGAATGGTTTAATCATTTTCTGTCGGTTTTAGCCGACAAAAATAATTTATTTATCCGACATAATTTCTGTCGATTTTAGAGTATTTTCTGTCGGAAAATTAATTTCCTGACGCAGGCAATTCTGTCACTTATTATATCCGCCACTGCATCCATTTTCTGTCAGATTTTACTTAAAATTCGACATAAATATATGTTTTTTGTCGGTTTTCAAAACGTCATTAATAACTGGTTTCCTAGTAGTGTCAGTTGGGCATGGAACCGTTAATTGTACATCTCAAATTTCACTTTCTTTGTAACCATAATTTCTGACATTAAAGGAAAAACTGTACAAATCATTCTCACCACATCCAGAATTAGCCTACAAATAACTCCATATTACACCGATAAGTGTACCAGGGATGGCCGTAAATCCCATCATCCACTTTAGGAGATTTTTTCTTAAACGACCATTGGGGCATAATATTTAATTATCACATGGAAACAACTTTTTTTATAAAGGAAAACTAATGAAAAAGTCTTGAAAACTTTGAGTTTTAACGATAAGGACAAAATAAAGAGTAAAGTGAATAGTATAAGGATTGACTTTTTAGTGTAAAAATATGGTTTTTCGTTAAAGTGAACAGTACCGGGAGTTTTTTGTTAAAGTTCTCTTTTTATAAAGCAAGGGTAAGTTGCGTCCGTTAGATATTCACCTCGACCTTCGTAAAGCGATGAACCTTGTTGGCTAATTAAGCATCATAATGAGCTAATAATAATATGGTTTAAATTCACCTTCGGTGAGAATCGAACATAAGACCTCTCAATTACAAATGAAGAGGAATACCACTAGACCGTAATACTAAGTAACAATTTTTGAGCAATATTAAACATACTACAATGTGTGTGTATATATATATATTAACAAACGATATTATTTATACTAAAGGGAGGGGTTAGACTTAACCTCATAATAAGCTAGCAATAATGTGGTTTAAATTCTCATTTATCAAGAATTGAACCTATGACCTCTCAATTACAAGTGAAAAAGATTACCACTAATTATTCGGATATTAAATATACAATGCACTTGTCCTAAATTAATTAATATAAGAGACCTTTTGATATAATTGATAAAAAAAAAAAAAAAGGTAGCCGATCTGCGACGATTCCTTTATCTCTTTCCCCTATCTGTGAAATCCCAACCCTAGCCCCAATTTCTGAAACTCTCCATCTCTCTCCTCCATGCCCTTTCTATCTGCTTTCTCGGTTACTCCTGTTGTGGTTCATGATGTTGTTCAAGCCAACGTGTCTTTGACAGCTGTGAGTGGATCGAAATTCAGAAATCTCATATCTACTTTCTGAGTGGCTCGCCTACTACTATATTAAGTGGGTCCTACATATATTTTTATTAGAAAATTAGATTTTAATCCCTAAATAAGAAGAAGTTTAGAAAAATGTTTTATACAAGATTAAAAATTGATTTTAGTCCCTAGACTCTATTTAATGCCAACAATTGTTTTTAATGTCTCTTTTTTTATTTATAATTTTATGAATTTAAATTTTATGAAAATATGATAAATTTTAATTCTCATTATGGTAAACATCTTATATAAGAAAATATTTTCGTAGAAATTTTTCGGTACACTTATGTTTTTGCATATTTTCTTATCTGCCACTAATTCATTACAATATATTTAGGTACGAACATTTCGGTACACTGGGTTAGTATAATATGTTTAGGTACATACATTTCAGTACACTAGTTTAGTATAATGTATTTA